AAAGATTGGGGTAGGAGACTGAGAAATTGCTCCATTGGAAATTAGTTTTCATTTTTCTATTTATAGACAACTGAGTTTTGTAGCATTCTTCTAGTTATGCTGCAGGTGGAGATTTTGTTTTCCCCACGTTTGTTGTTGTTCTTGTTAATCTGTAAAGCTTATGAATGAAGTGTTAAGATATTTGGATTTATGTACCATTACCTCAGTTACAGGCTGAAGTATTTCAGAAATTTCACATTGAGTCATTCATTTTCCATGTTTTTATACATTATTGTCCTCTGTGCCATTAAGAGTATTGGCGATACAGCATTTCTTAAAAAAGAACTCCACTGTTGTCTCTGGGGTTTTGTTCTAAGCATACCCTTTCTGCAAGTTTTGATGCCAGTTCTTTCTTCATCTTTTCAGAAGGGGTCAAAGGAAAGTTTTCAGGGACAAACTAATATGTCCTCAAATAATCTTTAAATGGTTTATTGACTAAAATGTTGAAGGATTGCAAATGTCTGGTTACCATCAAGATTAATAATTAAATTTGTACATGGTTAGGCAATGGCAACTATTTCTAGACTGTCAAATGTACATTGTGCAATACCTTCAATTGTAAAATGCATTCTAATTTGGGTTAAAATGTGAAGAAAATGTGTTTTATAATTGAAGAAATACAGTATTGAGTTCAGCAGAGTAGCTATACTCTGCAACAAGATTAGAGTAGCTCTGGTTTAAAACATTTGAGGTCCATGCTGTGGGATTTTGTTAAAGGTAAAACTCTTACACAGTACTGTAGGCACTTTACTAAACTTCTTTGGACAGGATAGATCTACTTTTTATTGAGCTTCACAACATAATAAGATTCAAATGTATGATATTTTACAAGGGAGTTTGGATTGTAGTGTACAATAGAAACTGTTAGAGTCTGTTAATACAAGCAAATGAAACCTATTCCAACCACTGCTCTTAAATGCTTACTAAAAGACCTTAAAGTTGGTAGTAAATTTGTGGTAAATGTTTTGTTTAGTTCTAACAGAAATGGGTAGGTTTTGTATTGGTGAAACTGAGTACAATTAGACAAATTGAATTTTAGAATCTTAAACAGTCTGTTAATAACATGCATTTTAGAGGCTAGAATATTTATAACTTTTATAGATCCCCTATTCTCCTGATGCTTCTTGTCATAATTATTCTTGGACTAATTCACTGTCTATGACTTGCTGACTAAAACATGGTAGCCTTTATTTCATCAACAAATATTTATTGAGCACCTCCTCTGTGCCAGGAGATGATCCAAAAGTGAGCAAAATTAATGTGGTCCCTGCCATCAAGAAGCTAACAGTTAAGTAGGAAAGAAACATACAGTACATAATAAAGAAAATTGTGATTTTAGCTTGCGGTAAGTGCTAAGAAGAAAATCAACAGGACACTCTAACAGAGAAGAATGTATAGAAAAGTAGACCACTTTATAGAATGGTCAAGAAGACTTTGAGGTTGTGACATTAGAACTGAGAACCGAAGTGGGAAAAGGATGCAGCCATGCAAAAAATGGTAAGAAGAGCATCCTGGACAGAGATGGAAAAACCTTGAGGTAAAGGCTTGGTGTTTACTAGAAATTGTTAGACAGTCAGTGTGACTGTGGAGTAATGAGTAAAGAGGAGAATGCACAAGATGAGGTTGAAGCAATCGGGGTGGGGGGTCATAAACCATTAGAAAAATTTTAAACACGCAAGAACACAGGGAGAGATGGAGAGGAATAGGTCGATTTAGGATAGGTTAAAGTCAGTAGACCTTGCTGATGGACTGGACCCAGAGAGAGAAAACGGAAAAAAATAATGAAAGATGACACCCAGGTTTCTAGTGTGTACTACTGGATAGATGGGGAGGAGAGGAGCAAGGTTACAATGTTCTGAGGTCCTGGTGAGGCATCACATCCAGAGATAGCAGGCAAGCAACTGTCATCCTGCTAGAGCTCAGTGAAGCAGTTTGGGTAGTGTCAGCATTCTTTTCACTATGTGCTGGGCACGGAAGATACAGTACAGGAAGACAAGTCTTCTGCTTTGATGGACCTCACAGCATGTACATGAGATCACCTCAGCAAACAGCAGAAAGAGAACTCAGCACAAGCCCTGATGAGCTCTGACAAGTTAAAATGTGGGCAGAGGCTTTTCGAAGTCTCAGTACCTCTCAGCCTGTAAGTGTTGCTATGTTACCCAAATCATAGCCATCATCAGTGTTGATGAGGGTTGAAGAGATGAGAAAAACTGGGATTTTGGATTCTGGATGTAATAATTTCATAAATCCATGTGAAGTATTTGGTCTTCTTTACCACTCTATAAAGTACTCTGCCTTTCTACACAATCTTATGTATCCTATTAGGGCTATTAGTTTGCTTTTGTTCCCAGGATTATCTCATTCTTCTGGATTGTGAGTTGTGGTCTCCCTGTTTTGTTCTTTTTCATGTTGCAGGCTTTTCTTGAATGCCTGATTATCCTTGATTGTGTTCATATTTAGAAATGAGGCTACAAAGCTGAGTGTTCCATATTGTTCAGTGGGGATTGTTAACTGATGAGGCTTTCCTGTAAGGAAAGCAGACAAGAGAGATGTTTAGTTGGAGGCAAAATCCTAAATGCTAGAATATGAAAGACTTTGCTTTAGGGTACCAGCAGCCATTCTTGCTGCCTGGTTTTCCAAGAACAGTTTACTTTTTTGCATGGGGGGTCAGGGAAGTAGACTATTCTTTTTACAGAAGTTCAGCCTCGTATCTTCCCTTTCTGTTCTGTGAGTAGAGATATGCTCACAAGTCCAGAGCCTCCTCAGAGTTCTGATAGGCAGACCTTCTTCTGCTGTTAGCCTCTTGAGCACTGAAGACTGTGACTTCTTTCCAGCTTCATCAGTTACCATTTATTTTGTTTATTTGCCAAAGATTTGTTAAAATATTTTCTATGGAGGCCTCTTCCTGCCTTTTTCCTTTATTGTGCACAGCTACCATTTTTATTCTTTGACTGTCATCTTCACAGGGTCTTGGGACCAAGAAGAGATAAATTTGTGCATGTGTTTAATTCACCATCTTGAACCAGAAACCCCAGCAACAGTAGTATTAAGAAATGCAGTTTTATACTTTATCACTTTAAAGTAGTTTTTCTTAGCCCAATTTAATGAGCTTTTGATACTTAGCAGGATTGGAACTGCTCTTGTACATAAGGCACTTGTATGGGAAAATTTCTGTGGGAAAGAGTGACACAGTCATCCTTGGCCTCAGAATCTCCTGTCCAATAAGACTCTAGTGTGAAGATATTAGTCATGTATGGTAAATTCTGGTAGAATTTCAAGAGTTTCAAAAAGTTATGAAAAATCATATGCAGAAGAAGTCACTTAAGTGTTGTAAGAGTTTAAAAACTATTAAATACTATATGGAATAAATGTTTTATTTGTTTCTTTTGTATAGATAGAATTTCTTAGAGCAGAGATTTGGGTTGAAAGGGGGACCCTTCCAATAAAAAATGGCCTGAATGGTGACTCAGAGAAATGAAAGCCTGCTGGGCGCAGTGGCTCACGCCTATAATCCCAGCACTATGGGAGGCCAAGGTGGGTGGATCACCTGAGGTCAGCAGTTCGAGACCAGCCTGGCTAACATGGCGAAACCTTGTCTCTACCAAAAATACAAAAATTAGCCAGGCATGGTGGCACATGCTTAAAATCCCAGCTGCTCAGGAGGCTGAGGCATGAGAATCAGTTGAACCTGGGAGGTGGAGGTTGCAGTGAGCACAGATTGTGCCTCATATCTAAATATGAATGCAATTAAGGATAATCAGGCATTCAAGAAAAGCCTGCAACATGAAAAAGAACAAAATGGGGAGACCACAACTCACAATCCAGAAGAAGGAGATAATCCCGGGAACAAAAGCAAACTAATAGCTCTAACAGGATACAGAAGATTGTGTGGAAAGGCAGAGTATTTTATAGAGTACTGTGCCCAGCCAGTTTAGGGTTTTTTTGTTTTCTTAATTTTTATCTTTTGCCGGTACATAGTATATGTATATATGTACATAGTTTGTGTATTGTTTTAACCTAAGGCTTCATGTTACAGTTTTGTGAACTACCACATTTATTGGATCACTTTTCTTTGGAAAAACAGTGGGAAAATCTTAATTTTATTTTTAAGTAGTCTTCCATTCATCCATGCATGAAATAACTTTCATCCAGTGCAAATAATGGACTTTTTATACTTTTGCTGTTTAAAATGTTTATAATTTTAAATGAAGACTTTTGTTAAGTTTAGGCAAGCTTTGCATTGTACAAGTAGAGCTGCTCTGAGTCTTAATAGACTGTGTACTCATTGGAAAGATACACAAGTTTATAGCAGCTCTTGTCATGAAAGTGTGCTATTTTAGTGTTTGTAACCTTGTATTGACTTACACAAATTATTTCCATCATTTCCTCACCAACATCACCTCCTGAGATCTCCATTGAAACACCACCTTCTCAGTGTTACCTTTCATTGACACTTTATCTAAAATGTTGCTCCTCCCGCATAGTTTATATCACCTTTTTATTTTTTCTCCTTAGAACTTTCCCAGTTTTCTAATTTACTATGTATTATGCTTGCATATCTTTCTTGATCTGTCTTTCCCACTGGAAAGTTAGTTTTGTGTGGACAGTAGTTTCTGTTTTTTCAATACTGTATTTCTAGTGCCTACCACAAGGCCTAGCAAATAGTGTACATTGAATAAATGTTTGTTGAATGAGTGCATGTCACTGATGTGCCAGAAGCACTCATTTTATTTCAAGGTAAAATTTGACTGTATGGTTATGTGTAGGTTGTGTAGTATCACGAATTTGTATCAGAGAAGGTAGCATTAAAATCTGTTTCTTAAAAATCTTTGTGTTAAATTTGAAGTTTTAATCTTTAAGTAACCTCATTTTTTAAAAGATTTCAGATAGAAATCTGGCATATAAAAACCTTTAAGCAGTGCTACTTCAGTTAGAATATTAAAGTCCTTTTTTTTGTACAGGTGCAAGTGGCATGAAGAAAATGATACTCTCTTCTGTGCTTTAGCTGTTTGCAAGAAGATTGCGTAAGTTGGGGAAAGGAGTTTCTTCATAATACTGTATTCTGATTAAATTATTCTGTGCTGTTTTGCTTGCTATTGCTTTGGCAGTCAGGGTAACTCTGTTTCCACAATGCTCTTTTGAAACAAAGGGGGTCAAATCAAAACTCCAGTGAGATATTATCTCACCCTGGTTTAAAATGGCTTATATCCAAAAGACAGGCAATAGTAAATGCTGGTGAGGATGTGGAGAAAAGGGAACACTCATACACTGTTGGTGGGATGTAAGTTAATACAACCACTATGGGGAACAGTTTGGAGGTTCTCCAGAAAACTAAAAATAAAGCTACCATATGATCCAGCACTTCTTCTGCTGGGTATATCCCCCAAAGAAAGGAAACACATTGAAGAAATATCTACACTCCCATGTTTGTTGCAGCATTGTTTACAATAGCCAAGATTTGGAAGCAACCTAAGTATCCATCAGCAGATGAATGGATAAAGCAAATGTGGTAAATGTGGTATATATACACAATAGAGTACTATTCAGCCATAAAAAAGAATGAAATTCAGTCATTTGCAATAGCATAGATGGAACTAGATGTCATTATGTTAAGTGAAATAAGCCAGGCACAGGAAAATAATCATCGCATGTGCTCACTTATTTGTGGAATCTAAACATCAAAACGATTGAACTCATGGAAATAGAGAGTAGAAGGAATGATTACCAGAAGCTAGGAAGGGTACTAGAGGGGTGAGGGGGAAGTGCGGATTGTTAATTGGTACAAAAAAATAGTTTGAATGAATGAATAAGGCCTAGTATTTGATAGCACAACAGAGTGACTGTAGTCAATAATAATTTAATTGTACATTTGAAAATAACTAAAAGAGAATCATTGGCTTGTTTATAATACAAAGGATAAATACTTGAAGGGATGGATATGCCATCTTCCATGATGTGATTACTACACATTGCATGCTTGTATCAAAACATCTTATGTAGTCCATAAATATATGCACCTACTATGTACTCACAAAAAATAAAAATAAAGGTGGTTTTGTACATCATAGTACATTTATTTTCTGTCCATGTCACCTCTCCTAGCAATATGGGTGAACCTTCAGAACCACTTCCTTATTGGGGTACTCTAACACATAGGTCTTTTGTTCTCGTTTTGTAGTGAAGTACCTGGAGCCCCAGATAATCTGGGTGCTCTGGTAGCCCAGTGGGTGATATTAGTTCAGAGGATAGATTAGTGTTTATGGTTGTTGTCTTATTTCTGCCACTTCCCTCTCCTTGCCTTAAACATTTGGGAATCGTAGTAATCTTTACCTTCATTGCCATGCCCTTAAAATGAACCTAAAATTTTATCTGGTAATCAAAAGATTGCAGGCCGGGCGCGGTGGCTCAAGCCTGTAATCCCAGCACTTTGGGAGGCCGAGACGGGTGGATCACGAGGTTAGGAGATCGAAACCATCCTGGCTAACACGGTGAAACCCCGTCTCTACTAAGAAATACAAAAAACTAGCCGGGCGAGGTGGCGGGCGCCTGTAGTCCCAGCTACTCGGGAGGCTGAGGCCGGAGAATGGCG